GCCAAAATATCAACAACTAAAGAGTGATTTCAAAAGCCAGGTGGTAGTGGTGCATGACTTTAAACCCAGCACTAAGGAGGCAGAGGCAGGCAGATCTCTGTGAGATAGAGACCAGCCTAGTCTTCAAAAGCTAGTTCTAGGACAGCCTCCAAAAGAATACAAAGAAACCCTGTATAGAAATAACTCCCAAGTAAATAAATAAATGATTTCAGGAAACAATACGAGAGGTTTGTTATGTGGCTTCACACTGAGGTCAGGTGACCTGAACCTGCTTCTTATCCAGTTGCAATAGGGACTTCAGACAACCAGGAAAGAAAATCAGGAACCAGATCACAAGCAAGATAATGGGACTTTCTCCCATCAGAAAGCTAGATAATGGCTCCATTGCTTTAGGAGTTACATTCCTGAAATTCAGAGCAAACTGTTGAAAAATGAATAGTACTGCAGAGTAGCCCTCATGGAATGTTTAATACTTAGAGAATAATGGAGCAAGGAAAAACCGTGTTTAAGGTCACCATTGTGAGCCAGCATAACTTCCTCCCTGGGGCATTGAAAAAAAATAAAAACCACAATTGCATTATTCATGGTTCTCTACATGAAAAGGACTGGTAGAATGAATCACTACACATGTGTGGAAATGGATTTATTAGAATTTCTTAGGTGTTGGTCCTGATCATCCAATAATGGTTGCCTTCCAATAAAAATTTCAAGGACCCAGGAGTTGTTCTGTTCAAGAGGCTGAATATCTCAGCTGTTCTTTGTCGCGTCTGCTGCGCGGCCTGTGTCCGAGAACGTGCGGAGGGTGTCGGGGATTGACAACACAGAGACTCGTTCAACGATGTAAAGAAAACTTTAAGCAGGCCCCAAAAAGGTTCAAGAAAACTTCCTAAGAAAGGCTCCCACCAGAGAAGCTTCTGCTCTCTCCTCTCCCCTGGCTGGTTCTGCTCTGACCCCAGAAACTGATCTGGGCGTGGCAGAAGAGGCGGTTAGTCTCTGGACAAGGTCGAGCTCAGGGTGGTTTCTGCGGGCAGGCCTTTTCCAGGAACTTAATGCCCCCAGGCATTGTATTGTTTTTAGTAAACATTGTCTTACAGCTGCCTACTCCCAGGCAGAAGGGGAAGTGGGTCTCTGCTCAAGGTCTGGTGTTCCCACAATTCACCCCTTTTTATTTTTAAATGAGGCACTCCTGGCTTAGGTCAAGTAGGGTCACCCTCCCTTTCCCGTCCTTGGGGGACCTTGAACCCCTGTCTTAGGCGGGAGGGGTCTTCCCCACAGGTGGCCCGTCATCAGAGCACCCCAACTTTAAATCATCTGTAACCAACCTTCATGGCTATCGGGATTGCCATGGGCTAGGCTAAGCAATACTTGGTTACGGATCTCTTGCCTCTGGAACAAGGCACGTTTGAGCCCGGCATAAAGCCAGAATGCCTACCGCCACTGCCACCATTTCCAGGACCCCCATTGACATAGCGCCTCTCCATCACCGTACCCATCACCAGATCTGGGCCATAACATTCTACCAGCCTTCGTCTGTTACAAGGGTAACATGTACGTGATTTACATTCTGTTACAAGGGTAACCCGCATGTGATTTACATTTACAATTTGATGAAGTTTACAATTGTTCCAAGATCTGCTCAGGAAAGCATTTAGAAAGTGCACTTGCACAGATACATTAGGTACAATCATTGATGTTACACATGTAGCATTATGAAAAATATGAACAATAGGCTTGTTGCACTATCCACAGAGCACCAATTTGTTCCTGTGGTGATGCAGTTTGTTGATTTAACGTCAGCTGATTATGCGACTTGAGTCAAAGTCTCCTTTTGTCACATTAGGACAAGTTGCATCTCTCTAGAAAAATACACTGGCCTAGTCGTGATTCCAGAAACAGGAACCATCAAGTCTGATATTTCAAGTGACCATGTCCTGTTCAATTACTTAAAAGAGGCTTTTGCCCCTCATCACAGTCCATACCAATGTCCAAGTGTTTTAAATGGGTCCTTTTTTTTCTGTTGGCTTCACAATGAAAACTCATGGGTCTGGAAGGTTGATGCAGCAGGTCTGTTGAGAAACTGGAAATCTCGAACCGACTGTTTTCTTTCTTTCTTGGGCTCTAGATTCGATGACAGCAAGGGTCAGGAACACTGATTTAGGAGATCTCACTCAAACTGGCTTAGGTAGGCTCCCATGGTCTCAGGTCCAGTTTTTCTCTGCTCCATGTCGAAGCTTTTATTCTTTTCCTACAAGAAAACACAAACATGCCCTCGACCCCAAATTAGGGTCTTCTCCACTGTTTAGTGCATGGATGTCTCCATTTGACCTGAGCAATGGTTGCTCAAGTTCCATCATGCCAGAATCTGTCTGAAGCTCACTGGCATTCACATTATAAAATTTTTAAATGAGGAGTGTATTATTTGATGAGTCATATGGGGACTGGGGACATTATTCCCCCTTTTTTATTTTCTAAAAAAAATTTTTGAACTGTTGAAGCTGGACCATAATAGTAGAAGGATTTGTCTACCCTCCTTGGTTGACTATCTAGGTAAATTGGGATTACTACTTAGATTATTTGTAGATGCCCATTAAAAAGGACATATTCATTAAATATTTCCCAAAAACTTCTGAAAATCACTCAAAGATTGTAAACTATAATGTGTCCAAATAACTTGTGAAAATTATTTGAAGTCTGTGAGCAGTCTTTCCCAATCTAACCTGTAGAGCTCTCACTAGCTGACAAGGCCTCATTTGCATCTTAAATTTTTCTGTAAAAACATTAACAGACTGGCTGGATGTTCCTTTTGTCTATATTTAAAGCAATCTAGGTAGCTTCTTAACTATTTTTGAAGGGATTTAAGTATCCTTTTAATCATATAAGCAGTTCACACTCATGCATTCACAATCACATTTCATACATACCGGTGTGGCCACACCATACATTCAGAACATACATGCATCTTTCAGTCATCCTTTTTCCCTAGGTCATGATTAGTCTGTTGCAATGAAGCTTCCTTAATTGAAATCTATGTAAAAGAACAACTCCAGCCAATCCTTGAACTAAAAGGGTTAAAAAGTCCTGTATGTTCTTTATCATTCCTCCATTTGAGCTACAGTCATGGGGTACAGCTGTACCTACTCCTTGTAACTCTGTAGATGCAAGGTGGACAGGCCAAGCTTTTGGCCAAAAGTTTTTAGAGATGACTCACAAAATAGAACTTAAATGTAAACAAAAATTTCCATTCTATATACCTTTGTCTTTTTCTTTTTCTTTACTTAATACCAGTACCTCTTTACTGTTACAAAATTTTTTGTTTCACCCATTTTTTTTAAGTCAGGGTTTCTCTGTATTGTTTGAGGCTGTCAGTCCAGCCTGGCCTCGAACTCACAGAGATACGCCTGCCTCTGCCTCCCAAGTGCTGGGATTAAAGGCGTGTGCCACCACCGCCCAGCTTGTTACCATTTTTTTTCTCTGTATTATTTGGAGGCTGTCTTGGAACTTGCTCTGTAAACCAGGCTGGCCTTGAACTCAAGAGATCTGCCTGCCTGTGTCTCCCGAGTATGGGGATTAAAGGCATGTGCTGCCAACGCCCGGCTATTCACCCATTTTTAATCCATTCTTCAACCCAGGATATTCCCTCATGCAAAAAGCCTTAAAATTTACACAATCCACCCTCCAATTGAGGGCAATCTCTGGGTTCCCCTTTTTCCCGACCTTAGTGTCAGGCTAAGGCCTAGAGATTTAATCCAATCCCCCGTCCAACTGAGGGCAATCTCTCAGGGTCCCCTTACTTTCCTGACCTTTGTCAGGCGAAGGCCTGGAGATTTAATCCGGTACCCCTAGCTTGGTACCCCTTTTTAACACATCCACATAGCCTTACTGGCTAGCCTTTTAGATCTCTCAGTTCCCCTTTACTTTCCTGACCTCAGTGGATCAGGCGAAAGACTGGAGATTTTTTATATTTCTTATTTTACCCTTTTTCTTTTTCATTTCTTTCTTTTTTTTTCTTTTCTTTTTTTTTCTTTCTTTTTTTTTTTGACTGGGTTTCTCTCTATCCTTTTGGAGGCTGTCCTGGAACTTGCTCTATAGATCAGGATGGCCTCATTCCTTCCTATCTCTGCCTCCCGAGAGTTGGGATTAAAGGCATATGCCACCAACACCTGGCTCTCTGAATATCATAGTAAACATCCTCCCAATCTGGGACATTTAAGCCTTCCCCAGTAATGAACCATGGACTGGCTCGTTCGATCGATTTTAGAAAGCCTTCTAGGGTTTTAGACTTGACTGCAGTCCCATGTTCTTTAAGTAACTTTTTTAGTTGATACTGCAATGATTCTGGCTTCCCAGAACTATTCCCCATAGTTTCTTAACCCCGTCCACTTACCTCGCTTTCGCGATCTCGGTGGGACCTCCAACTGTCGAGTCTGCTGCGTGGCCTGTGTCCGAGAACGTGCGGAGGGTGTCGGGGATTGACAACACAGAGACTCGTTCAACGATGTAAAGAAAACTTTAAGCAGGCCCCAAAAAGGTTCAAGAAAACTTCCTAAGAAAGGCTCCCACCAGAGAAGCTTCTGCTCTCTCCTCTCCCCTGGCTGGTTCTGCTCTGACCCCAGAAACTGATCTGGGCGTGGCAGAAGAGGCGGTTAGTCTCTGGACAAGGTCGAGCTCAGGGTGGTTTCTGCGGGCAGGCCTTTTCCAGGAACTTAATGCCCCCAGGCATTGTATTGCTTTTAGTAAACATTGTCTTACAGCTGCCTACTCCCAGGCAGAAGGGGAAGTGGGTCTCTGCTCAAGGTCTGGTGTTCCCACAGTTCTTCAATACACACCAAAATCTCAAGGAAGTAGGTTCTAATTCTGATAAAGAAATGAACTTGTTAGCCAGGGCTAGGACAAACAGGTAAATATATATGTCCTTTCTATGTGTATAAAATGTCACAATAGCCTTATTCATGGTTCTCTACAACAACAGGACTGGTCGAATGAATCACTACACATATGTGGAAATGAATTTATTAGAATGTCTTAGGTGTTGGTCCAGATGGTCCAGCAATGATTGCCTCCCCATAAAAATTTGAAGAATCCAGGAGTTGTTCTGATCATGGGGCTGAATATCTCAGCTGGTCTTCAATATACACCAAACGCTCAAGGAAGTGGCTGTAATTGTGATAAAGGAATGAGGACAGAGAAAGAGAGAGCTTCCTTCTACAATATCCTTTCTATATGTAGGCTGCCACAAGAATGTCTGATCCAGATTAAGGATGGATCTTAATCTTTGGTTTTTGTTTTGTTTTTGTTTTTTTTTGTTTCATTTTGTTTTGGTATTTTCAAGACAGGGGTTTTCTATGCCTCCATGGAACTCATTCTGCAGACCACTTTGGCCTGAAACTCAGAAAATCAAAATGCTTCTGCCTCCTGAGTGCTGGGGTTAGAGGTGAGCAGCAGCCATCAAGCAGCTGAAAATTGATGTCACCTCAAGTAAATATGAGGTTTTAATTTCAAAAACTATGGAAAAATCCTGCACAGGTGTACCCAACTCTTTGAGTTTTAGTTAATACCTATAGCTGTCAGTTTGACTACCAAGAATAGCCATCACAACATCCTATGCAGAAGAATATAGAAAGATTTCTTACCTGAAGGAGGTATGGAGATCCTGGTCATTGTTTCCAAAACAACACTTTTCCTAAGCAAAGAAGCATGTGGATTTCACTTAGTGAGTGTAAACACATTCATGTAGTAGTCTCCCTATTCCTAAGCAGGCTCAGACAAAAAAATCGATTTTTAAACATGATCACAATGTAAATCAGAGACATTTAGGGGCATTTTTTACTTTAAGCCAAGCAGAAACATAAATTATAAAAATGATTGAAAGAGCCAGGCATTGGTGGCACACTCCTTTACTCCCAGAACTCAGGAGGACCTAAATCCTGCAAAGGAAAGAGACCACAACACATGCCAAGGCTGGCCCATTAGACTAATGTTGGGATTTACAATAGATGCTCTGAAATATAGAGGTGCCTGGGAGGATGTTCTACAAGTTACCACAGACCACAGATGCCAACTTAGAGAGCACTACACCAAACAAAATGTGATTTAAATCAACATAAGAAGAGAAACTTTTCACAATAAAATCAACTTTAACCAATTTTTGTCAAGAAAATCTAGCCTACAAGAGGAAATCTAAATCTGAAGCTAAGAATTACTATATGCAATAGGACAAAATTGATAAATACTCCTGTAATAGTTCATCAAAATAGGGTGAAAAACCACACCACAACATCAAAAAAGCATAAATCAATACACAGTGCCCAATAATAACTATCAAAAGGATTGTTGTTACTTTCTCATAAAAAGACACTGACTGCCAGGTGCTGGTAGCACACAACTTTATTCCCAGCACTCCATAGGCAGAGACAGGTAGACCTCTATGAGTTCCAGGACAGCCAAAGCTGGTATACAGAGAAAAATTTCTTGAAGAAAAAAATGACACAAACAGAGTGGATTAGAAAATATGATGCATTTTCCTGATGCCTCCAAGATTCATTCCTCACCATTAATTTCACTCATTGATAACTTTAAAAGGATTAAAAAATATTAGAAGGCAATGTATGTAAGAAGGTAGAAGGCATAGCTGTTTTTATATTATATAACAAAATAAAATCCAAGCAAAAGCAAGGCTGAAGGGGTTGAGAAGGACAGTATATAATAATTAAAGTTAAAATACAACAAGAACATTTTACAATTCTTAACATGCCTCCAAACAACAGGAAAACAATGTTTGTAAACAAAATAGTACTACAGCTAAAAATCATTCATTGATCTAACACAGTAATACCTGGTGACTTAAATATACTAATCACACAAATAGGTTGATCTTTCAGATATGAACTAAATAGAGAAAAATGGAGATGGATAAAATCATAAGTCAAATGGATGTGACAGACAGTTACGTAGTATCACCACTAAATACTTAAGAATAATTTATGTCCAACAATCCATGGAAATTTCTCAAAAATTCACCATAATAAAGAATAAACAAGCCGGGCCGTGGTGGCACATGCCTTTAACCCCAGCACTCGGGAGGCAGAGGCAGGCAGATCTCTTTGAGTTCGAGGCCAGGCTGGACTGAGAGCTTCCAAAACAATACAGAGAAACCCTGTCTCATAAATACAAAAATAAATAAATAAATAAATAAACAAGTCTCCAAGTTATTAGAAAATGGAAATAACACCCTAAATTCTATCGAATTTCACATGAATTAAAGCTGGATATCAACAATACCAACAGGAAATAGAAAAACTCATGGAAGCCAAACAACTCAGTACTGAGTGAAGAGTGCATCAAGACAGAAAGACAGACTGAAAATGAAAACACAGCATGTCTGAAATAAGGGGCACAATGAAAGCAGTTCTAAGAGGAAATTTCAAAGCAGTGAATAACTACAGAAAGGTACTGGAGTAATTTATTTTTTGTTTGTTTGTTTGTTTTTCAAGACAGGGTTGCTCTGTATTGTTTTGGAGGCTGTACTGGAACTCACTCTGTAGATCTCCAACTCACAGAGATCTGCCTGCCTCTGTCTCCCAAGTGCTGGGATTAAAGGTGTGTGCCATCAATGTCCAGCCTGATTTCTTATTAATAACTTTGTTACACACTAGATGTCACTATGAAAATAATGTTCAATATTGTATATATAAATAAATAAGAGGTCTGAATTCAGGGATACAAGAATGAGGAATAAAATCAATGTGATAGAAGCAGAGAGCAACAGGAATAACCAAAGGTAGAATAAATATATTGCCAATGTGTTTCCTCAAATAAATTAATTAAATGACAGCCACTTAGACTAAGTAGCCAACTAAAATGAGAGAAAATATCTAAGTTATTAATTTATATGAAAGTGATGACTTTACATTAGATCCTGAGGAAATTGGGAGAATCATAAGGACATACTTTAAATCTTTATTTCACAAAACTGGAAAACCTAAAAAAAGATGAAATTCCTGATATCCATGAAAGTGAAACCAAGATGGTATAAATCCTATAAACAAGCCCATAGGCAAGAGATGATCTTCCCCAGGGAAAAAGAACCAACTGCCTTTTGTCAAGGACCAAAGAGTCAGCCAAGAAATCATATGTGCAATTAACTGTACTTTATGTATGAATATACAGATATAAGTATGCATTTCATAATATAACACCAGTACACTCATTTTTTCTGTTGAGGGATCAATGCTATTGTTGGTGGTGGCAGCTGGACCCTGACTTCTTGGGATCCCTGGGTTCTAATCCAGTGTCCTTTGGTATTGCTCTTCTCTGAATCCTCTTGCCTTTCTGGTTACATGTACATCAGAACGAACTCATTTTATCATTCCTCCCATGCCACCATGGACTAAAAAAGCAGACTTCACTCAGGGTGATATAACCAGCCTCATAACCTGCACCACTTCCAGCCCATACCACCACAACCTAACAGAGTACACACTAGATGGAGGAGATGCCACTCACAGCCATCCCTGTGCCAGTTCTCTCTGGTGTTTATCATTGATCTGGGCTCCCAGAAAATGTGATGCCATTCACTCAGTCACAGCTCACACTGTGCCTGAGAAGGAGGACCATGTAGGCACTTGGTGTTCCCACAGGACAAGGAGTAAACAAGGATGTGCTGGCCATTCTTGGCTGCATGAATCACAACATATCCAAAAGACATTGGAAGGATGATGCAACTGAGACACCAGGGCCTCTTTGAGAGTCCTCAGCTGCCACCAATGTCCCTCACGTTCATGATCTTCCATCCTCTGCCTCCCAGAAGCTGTAATTACATACATGTGCAGCTAAGTCTTATTTGCCCACAATTGGACAAAAAGTGTTTCCTTCATTCTTTTGGAAGATTTTGCAATAATAAAATAAACTATTGTACAACATAATGCCAAACGTGCTTTCCTGAAATAAAAGCTGAGTGTAGTGGATGAAAGGGAATGAGAAATGGATACCAGAGTGATCAACAGCAGCAAATAGTTGGAGGGGAATTGACAAATTGAAACATGAGAAACACAGCACACCCTGTACACATAGGGTATTAGTCATGGCTTACAGGTTCCACAGGTTCCATCTCCTGGCAGTGAGCCTCAGGTTTGCAATGGTTCAATGGCTTATTCCCACCAAATGAACCATTGCCTAAGTCTCCACCCCTTAGCAAGCAGTAGATGTAGGGAGAGGGATCTACAAAGCAGGTAGTGTAGTAAGATGACAGAATATAAAGCTTATCCTCAACTCTCCAACTCCCAGTGACAGAGGGAATAAGCTCTTGAATATGACTAGAAGTGATCATAATGGGTCATGGCAACTATAGTCTCCCAGCTCCCTGTAAGTAAGTGACTACAGACTCATAGGGGTGCCTCCAAGTTGGCCTTGAGGGCAAAGATTCCAGATTGGAAAAGACCAGTAGGTTTTCTCCAAGGTGATCACAGCAGATAGATATGGTCACACCTGCCCTGGAAAACATCAAGACTCTCAACCTCACCATCCAAGGAGGCAAGGACAGCTCAGGAGGACCTCAGTCTTTTCAGAGTCACAAGGGGAAGCACTGATCACCAGCATGGGGCCCAAAGATCTGGGTATATGCTGTAGTGAGCTGACCTTCATCCAGCAGAAGGCGGAATTCAAAGATCACCAAAGGAACAGCTGTAAGATTCTGATGGATGAGGGTGGTACTGAGGCAAGGATCTGGGAGTGCAGGAGTGGGGAATCTTCAGCCTCACCTTTGGGATGAGGAAGATGAACTGGGACCAAGGTGTCAGGTATACCACACCTAGTAACACATTCTCCTCCTCAGAGAAATCCTCCTGGAAGATCTGGTCCAGCATCCATCTTGAGCAATGTCAGAAATGTCACATCATAAAAGGAGTGATCAGAGAGAAGCAAAAAGAACACAACAGAATCCAGATGCACAGAGTCCTGGTCTAGACCTGGGGAAGCCTTCTCCCAAATCCTCTACTGCCAACCAGGTCTAGGTCACACGGCAGAGTGCTGTGTGTCTACAGCTGCCCAGGCATCACTGTTGCACACAGAGTTTCCTCTACATGATGAGATTATCTGGAGTGGAGAGCAGAATGGCCCAGCACTACTCCAGCTCCTCCAGCGATCCCCCAATTGCTGCTGCTCACATTGGCCAATCAGTTGCCAGAGGCTCCAGCTACAGGATCTAGCTCCCAGAAGATGCCCAGGCCCTTCACTAAGACAGTTTTGAGGGGCATAGGAGAGTCAGATTTGAATAATGAGACACCAATTATATACCGTAATGACCTGACACTGGTGCCCATCCTAATCTGCAGCCCCAATCCAAGCCCAGAACCTATTGCTCCCCTTGTGCTGAACCTAGGTAAAAGGCACACAGTATGATTGTCCATGTTAGTTTGGAGGGAAGAGAGACAGATATATGGCAGAGGGCAACCTTCAAATTCTAGAATATTTGGCAGACATTCATTGTCCCAACTTCAGGAACACAGTTGTAATCCTTGCCTCCAAACAAGAAGAGTCTAAAGTCCCATCCACTCCAATCTGTTCATCATTGAAAGTGCAGGGAAGAACTCCTTTCCACCCTTCAGTCCTCTGTAGTCATCTTTCACTGTCCCCATAGGTGGGGACATTCTATGGCTCTCAATGGGAGTTGGGGCCTCTGGAAGTCCTGGCCCCTCTAGCTCCTGGCCTAACTGAAGGAGGCCTGGGAATTTCAGCTCCTGCAGCATTACAAAACACTGCAAATATTCAGGGAAACTGCTTGTTCCCTCCTCCTGTTCTCTGTTCCAGCCTGTAGGGTGCAGCTCCAAGGAGGACATACTCATGGGGATGACATAGTGAGGAGCTTCTCTTGTCCCGGCTCACTGTGAGCTTGAAAAGTTTGATCTCCAGGAGAGGTGAGCACACCTGGACTCCACCTGCAAATGAATGATGCCATGATTCCTGACTCCCTGGCCATGTGCAAAGTCATTGCAGTCTCTTCTTCCTCTGTCCCTTCTTCCCATGTGTCTGCCCATCCATGACCCTCTTATCTGCTTTTTCCTTAAGATGCTTATATAAACATGGGATCTTCAAACAGTGAAAGTGAAACGAGATGAATGGACAAGTGGAAAGGTATCCTAGCACCACAGAAAAAGCAAACAAACA